GCATTTTGCCTTTGTTTTCTGCTAGTTGTGAGCTAAATGATCTTAATCAAGGCGTGCTGAGCCCAGAGCTCCTGGATCATTTATTGTCTTCCACTTATGTAACTTGTCACTGAAACAAATGGGGAAAAACATGCTTTCTCAGGCCAGCCGGGAGAGAGGGAGAAAGTGGGCCCTGTCTGCTCATCAGGGGAGCATCGGCTCTGACATGGCATTAAGGCATTTTGCCAGCAGCTTGGTCAAAATTCCACCATGATGGAGTGTCAGACTGGAGGCTCATGGGACAGAGCTGGGTGGGGAGTTCTGAAGTAATAGTACTGAGGTCCTGTCATCTCCTGGGACACTTAAGTTTTCTTTCAGAAGATGGTAATTGGGCCAGATGTGGTGGTAAACATCTATAATCCTGGCATTTGGGAGGTAAGGCATGAGGACTGTAAGTTTGACCCCAGTATGGGCCAGGCTATATAGTAAGACTCTGTCTCTGAAAAAAAAAAAAAAGATGATTGGTACAGAATAATTTGCAATGCACTGTCTGAGGCAGGATAAAGTCAGGGTATGGAGTGGAATTAATGCCTAATTAGTGTCATAATTCTAGACGGGTGAGAAGAGTAGCTTCTTGTGGAACTTATGTGGACACAGCACTGGGTGGTGCAGTTTTCAAGAGCAGCACTTGGCTCATTCCCAGCTGCAGGACCCGAGGCACCCTGCATAGTCTCTAGCACAGGGTTAGGAGCCCAACACAAGCTGTTAGATTGAACTCAAATCTATACGAATTCTTCTTCAGGGGCTGGATGCAGGGAAAGCAGGAAGGTCATTGCATTGAGTGCTGAGCTGAATCTCAAAGAGGAAAGAGAGAAAACAGCTGACTTGGAAGTGACCAGAGCTTCTCTGTAGATGCAGGTCCGCAATTGGGTGCTATTTGGTGGTGTTCAGGACAGGCACAGAGCTGGAAAGGCATTGACTTTGCACCCTGGCTCCGCAGTGGACTGGGAGAGCAAGTCACCTACCTTCCAGTCCTCCATTTCCTTAATTCTAAAATGGGGAAAATAACGAAGGCTATGTTCCACACCCCTCCAAGCCCTTGACATGTATTAGTTTATGTGATACTAAGGGGATGTAAATACTAATAATACAATCACCATTTTTTTTTTGATATGAGGAAACAAAGGCAGATAGGAGATGGGTGTTGCTTAAAGTGAGTGGCATGGCTCGGATTTAGACTCAGGTAGTTTGCACTCTTAAAACCTATGCTATATTACTTCTTCATAGTGATGTCTACTCTCAGGTACCTGCAAGAATCGAATGAGATGATACCGAGTGTGTTAGTAACTGTCCACTGGTGTATGATGGAAGTAGGTGTTCTACAAACTGTGCAGTGTATTCTAGGATGCTTTGTTGCCGGTGGGTGCTCTGTCATCACCTCTGTCACTCTCAGCAGGTCCCTGGGAAAGTGCTGTCTTTCCCTTGGCCACCAAGAAGACCCTAGTCCTTGGAGATGCTGACTGACTCTCCATCATGCAGAGTCTCTCCCTCTGGAAGAGACTCCTTAATGTCAGTAATGGGGATCATGAATCACGAATTAGTTCCACACCACCTCTCTTCCTGGAGCACAGCCATACTAGCTCCTGGGGGAGGGAGAGGCACCCAAATGAAGAGTGACATGCTAATTGGGAAGGTGCTCAACCTGCTGCAGTGACTGGGAGTTGGTGAGCCTTGTTAAGGCTGGGGCTTCATGCATCACCGTAAGTATGCTTGTGACAAACACACAGTCCAGGGTTCAACAGCAAAGCAGTGTGGCAGGAGAATGGCCAGTGGCCGATGGCCTCCATGGGTCATATCTATGGCTCAATGCCTGCCACTCCTTCAAGAGCTGTTCTTTGCAATTGAATGGATGCTAACAGAAGTGCTTCCAAGAGTACCCGTGAAGACTGGGGTGCACAGGGAACACCTATTAGCTGCAATAATCAGTTTTCTTACATGTGCACGGATGCAACTGCCTGCTTGGTGCCCCATCTTGACTGTTAGTAAAGATGCAGATGTGCGGTTTAAGCAAAAACAAACAAAAGAAACAGTTTTTTTTTTTTCAGTCAAGAGAGATCTCTTTAGAAGATCTACTTAGCAATGGGATCCCTCTAAGGTTCCTTTTCTTTTGTGGTACTGGGGCTTGAACTCAGTGCCTTGTGCTTGCTAGGCAAGTGCTCCACCACTTGAGTAAAGTCCCCAGCTCTTTTGCTTTTCGTTTTTTGTTTTTTTTTTTTTTCCCAACAAAGTCTTGTGTTTTTTGCCCAGGCCAGACTTGGACCTTGATCCTCCTACCTTTGCCTCCTGAGTAGTAGCCAGCATGAGCCACTGTACCTGCCCCCCACCCCCAAGGTTATTTTTATCACAACTTTGCCCTTCCAGATGTTATCTAGCTTAGAAAACCTTACTTTCTGTGTGATTTTAAAGAAATATGCTCTTTAGCCTTTTACTTAAGTTGTATAATTCCGGGCAACCTTAACCTCTCTGGACCTCAGTCTCCACATCTGTGAAAAGGGAATAAGGCGAGATATTGTGAGAAAGAGATCAGCACAGTTCCAGGCACTCAGCAGCCCCAAAAGGACCCAGCAGCACTCGGGGACCAGCAGTTACTACTGCTGGGTGAAGAGGAAACAGTACCAGGTCTTTGCTGTCCAGATGATGGACGTTTAAAGGATTCTGTATGGCTCTGTACCTGCCTTACCATCTTCCCAAGGTCCAGGCTGCTCATCTGCAGCCCTGATTTTTCTGTTTTTCCTGGGAGTAAGGTTTGAACCCAGGGCTTTGTGCATCCAAAGCAGGTGCTCTACTGTTCGAGCCACATCTCCAGTCCATTTTACTGTGGTTATTTTGGAGATGGGGATCTCACAGACTATTTGCTTGGGCTGACCTTGAACCATGATCCTCCCAGTCTCAGCCATCCATGTAGGTAGGATGACAGGTGTGAGCCACCACACCCAGCATGCAGTCCTGGCTTTCTAAACGACGTTGCTAAGGAATCTTTCCCAAAGAGCTTGTTATGAATGTGGATTTTGACTTCACACTCTCAGACATTCCACAGGGCTGCAGGGGTCTGGGAATCTGCACTTGCAATAAGAAGCACTTGCAAGCACCCCCTCACCCAGCCAGGGGACCCCGGTGCAAAGGACATGAGAAACTGTGACCTGTACATATTTCTCCATGGTCTGACCAGCTTGCTGCTGCATTGTGAGTCCTGGAGTCTGTCCATAATTAGGTTTTTCTGGATATGCCCTTGAGTGAGTGGGCTCCTTGGGTCCCTTCCCTGTCTCACTTCCTGACCTCTCACATCTTGGGACTTCCTACCTCCAAAATTGGCATACAGAAAAGAGCTATGGCTAAAGATGGGTTCTTGGCTTCCTTCCTACTCCAGCCTGGCATGGACTGTGCAGTGGCAACAAGTGAAATGACAGGAGAAACTGGATTGGATACACTATTTATTTAGGAACAGGATGAATCAGAAGAGAAGGGGCCCTTCACAATCTGGGTGTGCCATTTAGCTGTACTTGGCTGGGCCTGTAGGGTCTGAGTGCAGAAGGCTCTGAGAGAAACAAAGACCCTCAGTGAGTGGGAAGGAGGTTCTGAGGAGGGGTGAAGTCTGCCTTTCAACAATGCCGTCATCCCCAGAAGGGCGTGCTTGGAACATAATGGCTCTAGCTACAGATTCTATTAACTCTAATAGTTGTTCTGTGGTGAATGGATAATGCATTTAGCAGAAATAGACTCAATCAATTTATATGAAACACATAAAACTTTCTCTTGGAATCGGCATCTGTTCTTGAATCATAGGAGCGTGTGTGGAAATGGACAGTCTGTCACCCTGACTTCAGGGCACATCAGCAGGGCCACGGGTTAATTGGAGAGATAGGCCAAATAAAGCTGTGGTTTCCTTAATGCCACATATCCTCAGCCCTTGGAATCATGGAGCTGGGCATGGGGACGAGGAGCCTGTCTACTTCAAACCTTGACAGCAACTTATCTGCCTGGGCTGTGTTCACATGAGCCTCACATGTGCTGTTACCTGCAGGTCTGCAAGGTCACATAAGGCAGAGCAGGACCAGGGCCATGGCTTGCTGGTGCAAACTGGCCAGGGGTCCAGTGCAGAGGTTCTGTCTGACTCCTTGTCCGGGGCTCTTTGTGGGGATTCTGCATAATTTTAATTGTTTTTCTCCCTCTTTAGCAAAAGATGCACACTCAGAAAATGGTAAACCACCTGTCACGAGACAATACAGAGGCAAGGTCGTGGCTTGGATGCCAAAGCTCCATACACTAGGAATGTGAGGCTTTTTTTTAATGGGCTCTCACTATGTAGCCCAAGGGCTGGGGTTACAGGCATCAACCTCCACACCTGGCTAATTGGGTTCTCAGCTGATTTTCTTTGGCCCTCTCTACACAACATCTGAACTCCAAAGAGAGGGTAGAGGTGCATTGGGCCCTGTGGCCTACTTGTCTTCATATGGGCTTCTTAGGAGGGAGAAGGGTCCAGTCTACTTGTACCTCCTCAGTCCTAATATCTTCGGTGACCGCTGGAGACAGGGTCAGAGACAGAGTTGGAGATGGAGACTGGGAGATAGAGTATTAGAGAGGGAGGGAGAGAGAGAAAGAGAACCTGGCTCTGCGGCCCATGATTGCATTATCCCAACTATTTGGTTAGTGTAATTGCATGTGCAAAGCTGACAAATGTAATTTCCCCAGACTTAATACTTGCCCCATTTTCTCCTCCAGCTTCTTCATCTGATTAGCTAAAGTGACTCAGAGGCTTCCGGGAATGCCATGTGCAGCACCTGCATAGGCTTTTCTCTTCCTGGATGCTCCTTCCATTCAGTTTCCCCCTAGGCTAGAGGTGAGGGGACCCCCAGGCCCAGGCAGTCAGGCTGAGTGGGATGTGAGGAGGAGTGTTTAGGGAAGTGCAGAGGCTTTGAGAGATACTGTTTTCCAAGGACCTGATTTGGCCTTTGTATTTCTAGGAGCTGCTCTAACACCTGCCTGGAGGAGAGCCGAAATGCCACCAGCCACCTCTGTTCCAGCTCAGCAGAAACTGACAGCGATGAACTTTGGAGAGAAAATCTTATTATCTTGTCTCCTTGATTCTTTGTCAAAGGTTTGGGAGCTGATTGTTTACAGCTCCTGCACGGCTCTTATCTGGGACTCTTTCCCTATCTCTTTTCCATTTTTAGTGTTTTTCTCTGATTGGAGTTTTTCAGACCTAACAGTGGCTTAGTTGGGTGAAAGAGGGCAGACTTTGGTTTCACATCCCGGCCCCACTCCCTGGCAGCCATGGGACTCTTAAATTCTTTTTATGCCACTTTCTTCCTCTCTATGATGATAGTAGCAGTAATAGTCCCTAGGGCAGTGTGATGACAAGTTAGAGTGTGAAACAACCTGGTCTAGGGTCAGCCACTCTCAGTGATCGTCCCCTTCCCTTCCCTCCCCTCCCCTCCCTTCTCCTTTCTCTCCCTTTCCTTCTTTCCCTTCTGGGCTCCATTTTTGTCCATGGGGTCCTCCCAGGTAGAAGGTCTGGGCTTGGGTTAAGTGTGACGGTGTGGCTACCCCTGCTAGTCCATAGGCCACTCTTCTTCCCTGTGGACCAGAAGCTCTAGAACCACAAGTATTAGTCACCCCCACCCCTGCTGTAACCACGCACCATGCTGGGCACAGGGAGGCACCAGGCACATGAGTGATCACGGAGTGGGTGCCTGGCCTTGGCCTCTGGAGTCTATCTGACCTTGCCTCCACAGTCCACTAGCTCTGCCTTGCCTGAAGCAGACACATTGCTATAGCTCAGCCATTTGCCTGCCTGCCCCTACCTCTTCTAGACTGAGAGGTTTCCGAGTTCCTGGCCTGAGTCTTGTGCTGCTCAGTATCTCTGAGCACAGAACTGGCCTCAGAGGAAGTGGGTAAGGACTGCAGGTGGGTCTGGATGAAAGCCAGGTTAGGTCCAGTCCAGTGTGGTCATTCTCCCTGAGCATGAGGCTGAGTCCAGAGAATCGGTGGATATTCACGTGGGTGGCGGGAAAAGGTGGCCTAGCTCCTGGGAAATCCTCCCCTGCCCCACACTCCCTTCACACACACTCATAAGTATCTACAGCAAAGCAAGACTAGAGGACTTAAATTATGACGGAGAGAGAGGTCGTTTGTCACTGGGACACAGCAGAGGGTGGGGTGTGAGAGCTGAAGCCAGCTTCTCCTTCACTTGAGCTCCTCCCTGATGTGGTAGTAGGTTCTTGGGAAAGGCCACAGCCTTCCCGAAGAGCCTCAGGTCACAATATGTGACCCCCAAAGATGACTAGGGATGTTTTTAGCTCAGTGTCCTCTTTCCTTTGAGTTGAGGGTTACTCGTGTGTGTGGGGTGGGGACTGACATGTAGCCACTTGCCTGAGTCTTGCTCTGAGGCTGGGTCTGGGATTAGGCGTAATGTTACTCTCTAGGGAAGCTTATGTTTCAGCTGGAGTCATCTCCAGCTCCTCCGGCAGCCACTCATTTCTAATTCTATTTGGAGGTGGTGCGGGAGGTGGTGGTTTGAACCACTGCATGATTTCATTAGTCTGAGTGGTCATTGGGCAGGCCCTTATCGATTAGCCTTTTAGGGACAGTGGGAGTTATGTGGCAATAAACTCAGACTCAGGCAGGGTGACTGGCTGCTTCCTAAATGCTGGCTGCAGGGTTGCAGCTGCTGACATCTGAAAACCCAGCTCAAGCCTCCTGTTGCCCACCAGTCAATCAATAGATGTTTCTGCAGTCCCTACTATGTAATCGGTGCTGGTGGTGAGGCCAGGCAGGGGTGAGGGGGTGAGAAGGTGTGTGTGCCGCCATGTCCACTTAACACACGGAAAGCGGAAGTCTGACCTCTTTCCTGACTTTATAAATTTATAAATTTGTAAATTTGCTGAATTTATCACATGAAGGTAGTATTTGGCCAAGTGCCAGTAAGTAAGTGGAGGTGAATCATTGGGGTTGAGTGGCAGGAAGGAATGCTGTGCATGAATAAGGTAGAAAGCAGCCTCTAACCCAGGTTAGATGTTTTTATGAACCACAATGGCCAGTGGGGAAACAGAGTTCTGCAGGCTGGCTTCTCCTCTGTGAGGAAGGTTGGAAAGGCTCTTCGAGGGTTCTAGTTAAAGGTGAAGGAAGGGAGGAAAGGGCAGGAGTGATGGGAAAAGCCCTGAACTCTTTTCTCTGGTTTGGGAGCTGGATCAAAACAGGCAGGAATCAGGAAGGGGTAAGAGTCAGTCTGGAGGCAGCTTTGTCTTCCTTCAAAAATGAAGCAAAACTAATAGTAAGTTGAGAGCTAGTAAATTAGGTGGCAAATTTTTGTTTATCCTTTGTACATAACAGGGATTTTATCTTATAAGTAGAAATAAGATTTGTCATTTACCTGTTGTTATTTTAAGAAAGACTTATGTTTTATAGGAAGCAGAATAATAGAGCATGGTGGACACTTGCTTCTCCAGGCCACTCAGGTCAGAAGTCTCAGTGCCCAGGTTCTAAGGCTCCTATAGGGGTCACTGGACTCACTGGGGGTGAGGTCTAGGTTGGGATGTGTGGCCCTAGGTAGTCCTAATCAGTTCTTCTGGGGTTAGGCTCACAGGCTTCCATCCCATAACTGCCAGGAACAGATTGGTTTGGAGACTGATTCTAAGGGACTTTCTCTTGATGTGATTTATGGCTGAGAAGTCATACCTATGGTTTATGGCCAGAGGTGGAAGAAGCCTGTGTTTGAATCAGGAGCTAGAGCCCCCATGACAAGTCTTCCAGCGTGGGGTATGACGATCAGAATGGCTTTGGCGGAGATCCAGCACTGGGGAGGTGTGTTGAACTGAAAGCTTTCAGGGATTTATCCAGAAGAGGGTTGCCCAATTTGTGCAACAGGTAGCTTTGACCTTGGGCTCAACACTCTTTATGAGAAAAGGAAATCTAATGATAAGATTTACTTTCTTCAGTAAATGGGGAGTGGTTTCAAAGAAGTGAGTTGAGGAAGAATACCAGCTTGGTTCTCCCATTTATGTGGGGACTGGGGTTCCCTGGGCATAAAGGAAAGTTGCTCTCTTCCACAACTTTCATTACTCTGGTGATGTGAGGCCCATATAGCTATGCTTGGGGCTCTGTAACCTGAGAGCAGGTGAGACTCCTCCCAGAGGCCAACCTTTTTTTTTTTTTTCCCTGAGAAACTGGGGCTTGAACTCAGGGTCTACACCTTGAGCCACTCCACCAGCCCTTTTTTGTGAAGGGTTTTTTCAAGATAGAGTCTTGCGAGCTATTTCCCTGGGCTGGCTTCGCACCTTGATCTTCCTGATCTTTGTCTCCTGAGTAGCTAGGATTACAGGAATGAGTCACCAGTACCCAGCCAACTTTTTAATTCTTTAACCACAGGTTCCCACCCCAATCACAGCACATACCTTTCTTCTGCCTGCTGCAGCAATTGCACTGCTCAATTTGTGAATTGAGCCCTTACCTCTAGGGTCAAAGATGGGGTTCTGTCCTGATATATTTTCCCAGGTTTTTGACTCCTTGTTTGAGTTTCTCTCAAACAGATTTCTTGAATTGGGTTCTATGTTCTGAGGCATCTTGTCCTCCCCGCTGACTGGAATAGAGAAAACCCAGTGGACTGAGTTAGGTGAAGCCCAATTTCAGGGACAGAGAAAAGTTCACACTGGAGAAGGTGGGAGGAGCAATCTGGCCTAGGTTAAGTGGGGGCGGGGGGGGTAGGGAGATCAAGGGTCAGTGGGCTTGGGGGACAAAGTGCCAGGGGCAGGGCAAACTCACTGGTGAGGTAGCAGTCCAGGCTGATGGAGATATTGTCAAATGCCACGGTGGCTCTGGATCCTTGTCCCCACCATGCAACTATCTGGAGCCAGAATCTGTCCATGTCAAGAGAAATATGGTAAGGAACAATCCTGGTCAGTCATGTTCTAGGATTCAGCATCTAGTAAACATGTGCTGAGCCCCAGCTTGGAGTTTTAGTTTTGATCGGCTTTACCTAATCCCAGAGCAGTGACAAGAGGAGAGCAGTTAACCTCTCCCCAACTTCTCCAACACAGAGCACTCCTCAGTTCTGGGCCTGGGACCAAGACTTCCTGATAACCCAAGGAGACCTCCTTTGCTTTCTAGGTGGGCAGGCTGGATGGACTTGAGGTAGGAGGCTGTTTATACTCAGCTCATTCTCACCCATGAGCTGAAGTCATTATTAAATAATTAATAATAATAATAGTAACAAGACATGAATGTAAATGGGGAACTGTTTGGGGGGGTTGGAAGGAAAGGACATTGGAGTGAAGAAGATGGAAATGCATTTCATATATATACATTTGAAAACACCTAATGAAACTCACTAAACATTGTTTGTAAAAGGGTCAAGGAGAGAGTTGGGGAATGGAAATATAAAGGAAGGGGTGAACTTGTTCAATGTACATTGTATGCATATATGGAATTTTCACAATGAAATCCTCTTATTTAATTCAAGAATAAAAATTTAGAAAGATTAAAATGTTTCTGTATCAACTGATAAAGAATCACTGTTCCCTGAGTGCTCCTAATTGTTTCAGCAATGAGGTCCTTCTCTGATGCCCACTGGGTTTCTCAATTAACCAGCAACCAAAGGGTTAATCTCTGACACAGCAGGGTCTTTAACATCCTGGGTCTTGTCCTGTATCACTTGATATTTCCCAACTGGTCCTTAAATATGAAATGGCTGCCTATTACCCCAGGGAGTGTTTGTAACCCACATGGAGTGGGTCATAAAGTATTAATAGTAACTCTTTGAGATAATGCTTCTTTCCAGCTATTTCATAGTATTGGAGGACCAAGTCCTTACACTGTGGCCAGAAAGGCTTTAAAGGGAGATAAACAGAAAAAATACCTTGAATTTATTTGTTTCCTTAGAAATGACCTTTCTGGAAGACTATTAGTCAACCAGCATTTTCCGGTGATAAAGTGTGTCCTGAGAACCCTGAAGACCTTTCCCACCTTTCAGAAGATTGACTCAGAATGACCTGCAGAACGGTGTACAGTCTCTGATATAGATGTTAAAATATGACAAGAGGGAAGCCATGTCTGTTAGTCAGTGACTGAATAAATCACATGTGGAATATAACTATATAATGGATGCTACTCCCATTTGGAAACAGAGCTGACTTATTCAGACCAAATGTATTAGGGTTAAGATTAAGCCTAGGGTTAGAATGCACTAGGAGACATGCTATAGAATAGATGGATATCAAAAACATTATGCTAAAGAAGCAGACAGTAAGTTAAAGGCCTTATTTTGTGGATGGGATTGGAGAACATAGTAAATGAAAAAAGCCAGACTGAGAAAGACAAATATCGCATGTTCTCTCTCATATGTGGAATCTAGTCCTTAAAAATGAATGTCAGGAATATAAAACTGGGGGTGGATCCAAGTGGGAAAGGGGAGGGTGAAAGAAAAGGGGGTAGTGGGGGGGTGAAGGTGGTTGAAGTAGTCTATACATATATATGAAAATAGAACAATGAAACCTGTTGAATTTGTTCCAAGAATGGGAAGTGATAGAGGGGATGAGTTTGTTTGGGGTATATTGTATGCCCATATGGAAACATCACAATGAAACTCTACTGTACAACTAATCTATGCTAATAAAAATGGAAAACAAGATCCCATATGGAATGATTCTGTACAGGAAGCATTGAAAATAGGCAAATCTATAGAGACAGAAAGCAGATGACTAGTTGCCTGGGGCTGGGAGTGGGAACAATATTGACTGCAAATGAGCATGAGGGTCCTTTTTTAGGGTGATGGAAATGTTCTAAAACTGGATTGTGGTGTTTATTGCACAATGCTATAAATTTTCTAAAAATCATTCATCTGTATACTTAAAATGGGTGAATGTTATGGTATGTAGATTATAGCTTAATAAAGTTGCTAGGAAATGAGGAAGAGAGAGAGAAGAAGGAGGAGGAGGAGGAGGAGGAGGAAGAGCAAAGCCTTGAAATCAAAAGTAAACTTTTATCTAAACAGTGTGTTTGTGATCCATTATATTTAGCTGAATGACTTCCCAAATATGCCTTCACTCATCTTATGAAGTCAGGTCACAAATAATTTTTTTTCTGTAGTCACAGAGAACTCAATCTGCTTTGATTCTAAAGAAGAAATCTCTGTATCTGTTGCATCCCTGGAGAGCATCTCTGATGCTCCCAGAATACCATGATGGGGTCTGCATGTCCCCCTCAGTAAGGACAGACCAGCAAGGAGGGCTGGTGATTGGTTGTTTAGAAGGAGTGCCCAGTGAGAAGCCCCAAATCCTGCTCTGGGACCCTTGGGGATGCTGGGTGTGAGGGGATGAATAGTGTGGGAATGTATCTGTCCTTGGCACTTGGGCATGTCCCGCTGAGAGGCATTTTCTTTGACCTTGACACACGCCTATTTTCATTTCATACTGTGTACTGGGCCCTATGATAGTTCAATGGGAATTCTAAGGGAGATCAGTCAGGAACACTGCATTCAACATGCTTACTATCTGGCAGAGAGATTGGTCATGTGTAGGATGACACAGAATAAAGTAGGAGGCAACTGTCACATGCATATGCAGGTAGAATGCTGCAAAGAAGGAGCAATCACAGCAGGCTGGGGAGAGCAGAGGACATCATGGAGCAGGTAGCATGTAGGTTGGCTTTAAAGGCAGGGAAGGACTACAGGATGTGGGCATGGGATGGATGGAGCATGGTGAGGAGAAGAAACTGGTGTGAGGGTTGTATAATCAGGGACAGGCTCTGTCCTACCTGGTGTGAGGGGTGTGGATGGAGGTAAGGATGGTGGAGGTGCTTAGAGGAAGGCTGAAGAGTTTCCACTGTCATTGAATCAAAAAGGGAGAGCTATTTTCAGAAGAACAATGGCAAAATACAAGAGTTTTTTTGGGTAGGTATGGTAGGATCAGAGATCAGGATGGGGATAAAGGAAAGGAGGCAGAGACAAGGCAGGCAGGGTGGCTATGTGAGAGGCACTGTTGCTGCTGCATATGTGCCTCACATGCCTTCATGGGGTTTCTCCATGAGCCTTGGCAAGGGCACAGCCATGATTTCCCCCTAGTCTCCACAGGCAACACAGTTCTTGGATTGAGCCTGTGTAACTTGAACAAAACCAGGTCTAGGATTCTCATCTGTAAACCCAGGGCCCCAATACTTCTGCCTTGTTCCTTTTAAAGAAGATGGAAGCATTAGACATGTGTTAGCAAGAAAACAGGCACTTAAAGCTATGGGAAGAGTGAATAGAGAAAATCATGTTCCTGGTGAAAGCATCAGCATGGCAAGCTGCCCAATGCTCCTGTGCCACGGTAAGCATGGACCTCACAGCAACCTGTGTTCCCATTCTCCATCCCAGGTCATCACCTCCTAGTCTGTCAACCATAGGCCACATGCTGGTTTTAGTGCTTCATTGGTTCACCTTCCAGGCAGACCTGAGGTCCATGAGCAAGTAAATGAGATGTGCGTGCTTGCAGAATATGGGGAGGGTCCCCACCATGGGTCCTTCCTGGGGAAGCTGAGTATCTCCCTGTCTGGCTCTGCTCTGCCTTCATTCTTTATTACTGAGAAATTAGAGCTGCAAAGTTTCCCAACAGCCACTAGGCCTCTTAGCATGGACGGGATGATGCAAACTGGAGCTGGGATGGTTTCTAAATAGAAGAGTTTCTAAAGTGTTCTATGAGGTGCTGGCAATGGCAGCTGCTGTTTAAAAGCATTTGATTGACACTGGGAATTGCACAGATTTTGCGTCAGGCACACTCACAACAATCAGAGAAGATTCAATCAGATGGAAGCATGAAAACGTGTGATGCTGCCTCTGTCTATCCCAGGGGCCAATCCTTCTCCAGTATGCCAGCCTCCAGAGGCTCAGGGAAGGGACAAGTAGGAAAAAGGAGAGATGAAGGTGGGCCATGGTGGGGTGTGGGGAGGATAGGGGTTCAGTGGAGGCAGTGTGTGAGTGAGGTCTGGGGTGTTAGGTAATGGGATACATCAGGACCAATCAGGAGTTTCTTCTCTGTGAGGGAACTGGCCAAAAGTTCCCACCCAGATACAGGGTTCTCTACTTTGGATGGTACCTGACTATGTGTCTTCACCTGAACCTTAGGTGAAGGAGAGGTTGCTCTTGCTGGAGCTGGGCAAGACTTCCTTCACTCTCAGTCTTTTTGGCTCAACCACCCTTTCTTGATGAGTTCCCCAAAGATACAGATACCATGTCACTCTCAGAGTCAGCTGTGGCTTTAGGTAGTCCATACCAGTGGACCATTCAGGGACTAAAGGAAAGTTTTAGCATGTACCAGGTGGATTATTCTGTGACTGATGAAAGCAATGTCTGTGTCACATTATTGCCAAGACTGCAGGATCCAGGTGGTTTTGACAAACATCTAGGTTACTCTGCTGTCTCCAGCCCAAAGCTTTCATTCTGAGGGGGGAATGAAGTGGAGACCCATTATTAGAAGAGCCTTTGTTTTCTCACCATGGGCAGCCTGGCCAAGGGGAAGGTGAGTGATTTCTTTGGGGTTCCTCCTGCTCTCGCCCACTGATCTGTATTATCTAGGAGTGTAGCAGGGGAGCCTCCTCTTTCTTTGGCAGTGGAGATGTTGCTTCCCGCCCCTTAACAGTTCAGACTTTCTCAGCTCTTTCTGTTTCTCCAAAGTAACTTTCTGATTACATGGGTTGTTATTGCTTCTCTCTCTTTTTTTCTTGACAGAAAGGTTTAGGACTTGTTAAAACAGATTTGGCTAGAGATCTTGATTGGAGCCTGACTTTGTATAAGAATCCCTTCACCCTTTGGTCTCGCTCAGCTTACAGAGCAGCCTGTTGAAAATTGGCCCAGGGGGTTTCTGGGAGGTGGTCATTTGGATCATGG